GTGTGCTCATTTGCGCCCTTTTTCTGCAAGCAGATGTATACAGGGCTGAATTCCAAGAAGAAGGAATTCCAAGTTAGAAAAAAAAAAAAAACTTCCTAAATGATGATAAAATTCCATGAAGTTTAGCTGTACATGCAGAAACAGGATAAGAATCTCTAAGTTTTACTCAAAAACTAGTTAACTTAGCCTAAGAGATCATATTAGAGGGTCTCTGAGGTCTTAAAATGTAACTAACATGTTTGAGTGTTTGTCCTGTGATAGTTTTTCTTTTCTTTTTTTTTTTTAAATAGTGTATATTGAGTTTTTCCAGAAAAACCCAAACTCTTTGGCCAACCTGATATACTATGGATATTTGAGTTGAAAATTGTGAAACTTCTAAAACACCCTGGAGAATTCTTTCCTGTGGTGTGTACCTCTCTAGATTCTGGCTCTTGTCTGCTGCCCCATCTACACCTTCTATAATAATCCCGTCTCTGTACCTTTCCCAAAGTCCTTTCCCATTGGAAGGTCTTTCTATTAGCTGTTGCTTTCTCTACACTCCTTCATCTATGACTACTTCCCTCTTAATCTTAAGATCTCCACTCAAAGATCACTTCTGTAGAGGGAGAAGACCTCCGCCAAAGGGATTATCTCTTCTAAAGCACCCTCCTTTCTTCAGCCACATCCTATCACATCACCTGTTAGACCCTAAGACATATCACAGGGCTTTGCTTTTTACTTTTTTGTTCCCTGCCTTCCTCAACTAGGAAGAATACACTGCAACGACAGAGACTCTATGACCTGAATTTATCTGGATAATCCTGGTTTATACATACCTGTTGATCTGACTCTTACCATTGTCTAAAATATGTCATTTTGGACAATATATTACATGGTTTCTTAAGTTGGGTCTATCTATTCTAAAGTCTCAGCCTCAGTCCTAATTTTGCACACAGGACAGGATAAATGTTTAGTGAGGTTTTGCTGATAGTCACATGTCCTGGATTGGAAATCATGAGTCCAGTCCCAGGTCCACTCAGGTAGTGATCCTAATACCCCTAATGATCAGAAAAGCAGGTTTTAGCAGGCAACATCCTCAAACAGTTTCCATGATCTTGCTTTCTACCATATCAGGTAGATAACAGAGTACTTCTAGGCAAAGTAGTTCTATTTCTAGAGGTTTACATATAACTTCAAAGTTAATTAACACTTTGAAGCATCCATGCCAAAGGAGCAGTTTAACTTACTGTAAGGAAGGATTCTCAGGGTGAGGGCGACCACATGAGGCAGTGAGGACCTGCTGCTCAGTGAGCCGCCCAGGGATGTGTATTCCCGTGGAAGAAATGCCAGGCTGCGTGTTCTAATCTTGGACTGTCAAGTAAGAACTGTGACACTATCTCCCTGAGACCAAAACTTCTCATGTGACACATTATTGTGTACAAAGTAAATAACTAATAAGGACCTACTGTATAGCATGGGGTACTCAACTCAATACTCTATAATAGCCTATTTGGGACAATAATCTAAAGAAGAATGCATACTAAGACATTTCAGTTGTGCCCAACTCTTTGCAACCCTATGGAGTATAGCCCACCAGGGTCCTCTGTCCATAGGATTCTCCAGGCAATAATACTTGAGTGGGTTGCCATTTCCTTCTCCAGGGAGTCTTCCCAACCCAGGAATTGAACTCACTTTCCTTGCATCTCCTGCATCGGCAGGCAGGTTCTTTACTACTAATGCCGCCTGGGAAGCCCAAAGAAGAATAGATATATGTATACATATAACTGATTCACTCTACTGTACACCTGTACATTATAAATCAACTGCAATAAAACATTTTTTTTAAAAATGATTTTAAAAAAGACTTCTCGTGTATAAAATGTAGAATATGATTTTGGTTCTTCCTATCAGATTTTCCCATTTTCTCTGTCTCTTTTAAGTTTGCTGTTAATTAAAGGAGTTGATACATTATTTTATTGTAAAGTGCAGGTGACAAAACTATTTGTTGGCATATGAATAAGAAGGCAGTCCTGCATAAAATAATTCTTCCCAAACGGTTGTCTGGATTTCCGTTCCAAGGGTTAAGGGCTTAGGTAACTATGTAAGGAGCTCAGGTGAACTGTTCAGGAGTTCTTTAGACAGAGACAAGTCTGTTCCTCTCTCTTATGTCTCAATTTTGGACTTTGTAAAATGGTTGTGATGAGTTTTTTTGCTTCCGTTCCAAGATCAAAAGAGGATTCCATTTGAGAGTGCCACTTGTGGTTGAGGAAGTACTATAGAGATATGAAAGTCTTGAGGTGTTGCACAAAATCTAGGTGGGGGCTCTTGCATGTCTAGATGGAAGCAAGAAACATTCGGGGTGAATGAATTCCCCTTCCTCCAAGGTGACAAAATTGAAGGCACAGTTGTTCCTACTGATGTAAGAACCTTGAAAGTTGAGAGTGTAAGAATGAACCTAGGTGTCCATGATGGGGATAAAAGCAGAGTGGAAAGGAAAATGGTATTTTTTAGCACTTATTTGGTGCAAGGTTGTCTTTCATAGGTGATCTCATTTATCTTAAGTTTCATACAGAGCCAATGAAGGAGATGCTATAATATTATTCTTATACTACGAGTGTAGAAACTAAGACTCAAAGAGCTTAAATAACTTGCCCTGGATACTGTAGGTCATGGGCAGCTGGCTGGAATCCCAAAAAGGAGAGAGAGAAGTAAAAACTGGAAGTATGTCAATACTTCACAAGACCAAGCCTTGAGTGTTGGTCTGCCCCTCCTCCAATTTAGTGATATAAACAGTAGCAAGCTCTCCCTTTTCTTACTCCTCGACATCATGGTTTTCTCACCCTCACCTCTCATGGGACCACTCAACTTCAGTTCTACTTATAAGGACAGCAAGAGAAGTATAAGGAATTATGTCCATTCATATGTATCCTCGTCTCGTGTGCCATCTACAAAGCTTGTTTACTTGTTTAGTGATGAAAGTAACCTTAAACCTAGTCCCAGTCAACATTCTCAGAAATCCTGGGACTCAACCCAGACCTCTGTGGTTTTGCTTAGGCATAAGGGCACACAGGTTGTAAGTGGCAGAACCAGAATTTTAACTCCCTTCTCTCTAACCCATGCTCTACCTGTTCCACCATTCAGCTCCCTTGGTTATACACAAAAGGATAAACTCTACTTCATAGAAGATTCTTTTTCTGAACCATAAAAGGATAGTTATGGGGAATTTAAATTCTTTAAAATTCATTCAGACCCATAGGAGTTGACATTATATTAATAGATAATGTATTTCCTTATCTGATTCCAAAGAAATGAGTCTAAATTAAGTACAAATGATGACTGTTCTATAAATATTGTCTTTTTTTGTTGTTGGCAAAGGAGATGGAATTGATGACTACCTAGTTCTTTTATCATCAAGGTCTATTATTTTTTTCATGATGACCTCAGAGTAGCCAGGGCATTTATGACCTTATTCATATGGGCTCCCTGCCCAGAAGCACAAGGGAATGAATCTTTCCCTAAAATGAATAATTATGATGACTCTCAAGCACCAACTGCCCCCTAAAACAATTTAAATATTTTATTGCTATTAATAAATATACCTTTTATGTACATCTATGTTTCATTTATTCTCTGCCTCTAAAGAGCTTCACAAAGAGTTTCTTCCCATAGCATCTCCAAGAGTGAAACAAAGAAAAAAAGGGTTCTCAAAGTGTTGCTTCTGGAATGATCACTGTGGTGTGGTGGGAAGCACAAGTATTTGAGGATGTAATAGACTCAGGGCTAAAGGTCACACTTTAAGTTCCAACAAACTGTGTGTCCATGGGCGTACAGCTTAACTTTCAGAACTTTGGTGGCCTCATCTATAGAATCCATATCATTGTCCCTACCTCTTTGGGTGTAAGAAGCTGTATGATGCTGTCTGGGTTTTGTGATGGACTTCCCTCATTGCTCATTGGTAAAGAATCCCCCTGCAATGCAGGAGACCTCAGTTCAATTCCTGAGTCAGGAAGATCCCCTGGAGAAGGGATAGGCTGCCCACTCCAGTATTCTTGGGCTTTCCTTGTGGCTCAGCTGGTAAAGAATCTGCCCACATGCGGGAGACCTGGGTTTGATCCCTGGGTTGGGAAGAGCCCCTAGAGAAGGGAAAGGCTACCCACTCCAGTATTCTGACTTAGAGAATTTCATGGGCTCTATAGTCCATGGGGTCACAAAGAGGCAGACAGGACTGAGCAGCTTTCACTTCCACTTTCTTTTTCTGATGGTTCAGTGAATCTTATCTCCATTCCCTCACACTGTCACAGGCTCCTGACTGATCTGATATGGCACAGTTTCCTATATTGGCAGTCATCACCATGATTAAGTCACATATTTGTTATTTAGCTAAATGAAATTGATTTTAATCAATTTTAAAGAAAATTTTATTTGTATTGTACAATAATACACCTTCATTTATAAGCATGTCCAGCCCGCAGGGGCTTGTATATGGTGAAAAGTAAGTCCCTTCTCATCTACCCTGAATACTTATGTGCCACTTCTTAGAAGTGTAACAATTTTAACACTAAAAATTTCAAGAAAATTACAACATATATAGATGTATAAATATGGGTATAATGTTATTTTAAAATCACTACGGCTTCTCTCCATTTTTTCACCTAATTTATCTGAGTTATTTTTAGCATCAATTGACTTCATTCTGTTTAATAGATTCATAATATGCCATAAGATAATCATACAGAATAATATTTTTAAACATAAATTAGCAGCAATGTTTAATATTTATTTTTGAGGCAAGCATGCTGGTTTTGGAAACGAATTTTGGTTCAAATTCTGGATCTGCTTCCAGTATAGTAAACTTGGACTTTCTAAGCTTCTATGTTCCCATCAGGACAAGACTAACTGGCTCAAAGTATCATAAGGATTACATAGATAATGCCAAAGATGACCTAGTATACCACCAATTTACATAACTTGCATAAGTTTCCAGTGTATGTTAATGGTAACCTCGTAACTTCTAATTGAAGGGCATTCCTTGTGAGTTGATGACTCTGAGAAACGACTGTTAACGGGACTCTGCAGGATGTTGTGGTTATCACTGTTGATGTTTTTTGACGACCAACAAGGGGAGGCTGGGTAAGTAAACTACAGGTCTTGACCGCTCTAAAGAAATCTGCTGACGACAACATTTTGAGGTCATCTCTCACGCTGTGTTTTTCATTGCATGCAATTAACTTGCTCCCTCCCTAAGGATGAAAGGGGGTGTGTATCTTTTCACATAACTTGGACCTTACAGAGACTGAGAAATATTGTAGTAGAGATATCGGCTGGATTATGGTGGTGGTGGAGAAAGAAGAAATCTTAGTAGGAGAAGGTAATATTTACTGAAAACTTACTCTGTGTTTGGAACTTTACTTAAATAATCTGATTGAAGATCCATACTATGAGGTAGGTGGTATAATTTTCAGCACACTACCTAAATTTGGGGTGTATGTTTCCAGCGTGTAAGACAGTGATTTTTGCAGGAAGATCTCAGAGCTTAGGTGTAAGGTTTTATTGAGATCATATGTGCAGAGGGTTTAGAATGAGATTCAGTGTATGGAGAGCATCTTATGAGCAAGCTGAGGGTTAGCAGGGTTTTGAGGCACCCTCAAGGAAACCTGTGATGTAGACACAGCAGTCGAATTTACTGCTGCTTCTCTATGCTTGTCATGAAAGTGAGTCGAATGACTCACTGTCTTCATAGAGAAAAGAAATTCGATTTAGGAAAGCAGTGTGATCCAAGTGTATCTGATATTAGGACATTGAAATATCCTTCCAAGTTCTCTGTTTGGGGATCTTCCATCAGCAATGTAGTTCCTGGGTTTTGAATCAGATGCATGCTCGCACTTTCCACTTTTACTCAGAGGATCGGGAGGCTGGGGAATGTAGGAATTTGGGGCCAAAATTCCAGTGTTCACCCTGTGTTCCTTTGGACTAGTTACCATCATGCCTCAATTCCCTCATCTATAAAATTAAGAGTTCATTTTTGTAACCCCTTATTTCCCTATCAGGTTTACTCAGCTTTGTCTGTTTCTTATCTCTTATCCAGTGAGAGTGGTTGTTGCTATTTAGCCGCTAAGTCATGTCTGACTCTTTTGCAACCCCATGGACTATAGCCCACTAGGCTACTTTGTCCATGGGATTTCCCAGGCAAGAATGCTGGAGTGGGTTGCCATTTCCTTCTCCAAGGGGTCTTCCTGACCCAGGGATCGAACCTTCATCTCCTGCATTGGCAGGCAGATTCCTTACCACTGAGCCACCAGGGAAGCCCATCCAGTGAGAGCTAAAAACCTATAAACCCATCCCACTGCTCATTTGCCAGTGATCTTCAGTAGTCATTGAGATGATTTGTGTGTTCAGGTTAACCTGCGCAAAGAGATAATGGGAGTTAGTTGAAATTCCTTCTCTGATCCTTTGACTCAGGACCTAATGAAGGGGCCAAGCCCTCTTGTAATGAGTTGTCTCTGAGCAGTCTGTCCCAGTGACATCAACATCACTTTTTTTTGGATGCTGTGATGAGCCATCTTTAAATGGCCCACACCTGTTGTTACTATATGTGTAGTTAAGGCTCAGATGCTTTGACATCAAAACAAGAATGGTTGCTGGGAGACAGAACAAAGATGTAGAGTTCATGGACACTTGTGTCAGTACTACAGAATGCTCAGCAGCATGTCAACTCAAACAGTCGATAGGCATGTTGGGGGAACAAAAGAAATACAGATATTAAATGCATCTAATAGAGAGTTTCAGACTCCTACAGTCAAATGAGGTTGAAATAATGTTCAGCCACTTCAGCTGCCATATGCAATGAGCTGCTTTACCCTTATTCTAGTACAGATGTGTCAAACTCCTGTTGTAATATCCCCTGAGATTGAAACCTCACTTCCTCACAAGAATCTCCTAAAGTCTAGACAATTCTATGATCTTGTATCCCTATACCAAACTGAAGTCTTTATGACCTTCAAACAACAATCTCAGTTGTATCTCCATTGGCACAGAGCCTAAACCCAGTCATTCTTCCACATGGCAGCTCTCAATTCTCCCCAACTGTTTTCTTTCCCCTAAGACATTTCCTCCTGATCTAAATACATCCTTCTACTATTTCTCAAAGGATATGATCTCAAATCTTGTCCTAGTTATGACAGAGACCATGGTTGATTAGGAAGGCTAAATCTTATATACTTGTTCATTAATTCAACCAGTGATTAAACATAAATATCTTATGTGCCTGCTGAAAGCAAGGCATTCTGAATGATGTAGAGATGAATCACATCTGATCCCTTTCTTCAAGTTATCTCAACTTTGTCAGTTTTTGCTTGCTGTGAGACTTTAGATGAGTTGTTTAACCTTTCTGAATCTGTTTTATCACCACTAGAATGTGGATCAATTGAACAGCCTCACAGGATTAATGTGAGAATCAAATACAAAAATTTTTGTGACACTCTGAGCAAAGTGTGATGCACCATAAGGACATAGGGTATCCTGGTTAGAGAAGAGAGGAAGATTGCAAACTAACTAACTAACTATCCATTGTAGATAGAAAAGGACCCATGTCACAGAAGAATACTAAGTGTGCACTAAGATTAAAAGACTGAATGTTAAGTGCAGTCTTTTCTTGGTATTGTTAAATACCAGAAAAAGGAGAAGTTCCTAAGCACAAGTCCAAATTAGGAATTGTTATGTGAACTTCCAAACAGACAAAATTAACCCACAACAGAGATAGTGATGACTCTAAGAGAGAAAGGCAGAAACTTTTACTGTACAAAAATCCAAGTGAGAAATGACTGCATTCAAAATTCTTTCCATGAGGCAAATGAAAGAAAAATACTTTTGGAACTTGGCCTAAAAATGCACAAGTGTGCATCTGTCTCTGTCTACATGCACTTAGACATGTGCATTTTCAGTGTCATTCATGTTACATGTTCCTTGCTTCCCATGACATAACAGCCAATGGCATGGCAAGCGCTCCACAGACTATATGGGGCAACTGGTGATCTCCTCATTGGAATGCCCCTGACCACGATGAAATCCTAGTCAGGGGGCTTCTGATTGAATTTGTATCCATGACAGAGGCCAGAACTTTCTCCAGGGAGATGGAAAGTTATAGGCAGAAGATTAGATCACATGCTTTCTAAAATGGAACACATTTGAGAGTACAAAAAAAAATGACTTTAATAATTGTTCCAGGACAATGGGTGGATACTAAGACTTTCCCAGACAAACAGGGATGTATGACTTAAGAAACGAGATATAGGGTCAGTATAGACCAGGTTTCTCTTTCATCTCTGCCCCCAATTAGCTGTATCACTTTGGGCAAATCATGAAACTTCTCTAAGACTCTATTTATGAAACAGAGTCGGTAATACCCATTTCAAAGTTGTGTAGAGAAGATTGGAAAACAGACTGTGTATAGAAGTACCCAGTTCAGTCATGACATCTTGAAGCTTGTGAGATGCGTTGGGACTCTTTTGGTCCTTGGTTACATTGGTCTTTTCTCACCTCTCTGTCTTCTCTTCCTTCCTTCCTTCCACCCGGCCCTTCTCAAGTCCTCAGGTAGCAAAGCTAAGGACAAGAACTGGCACAACCATCTATGCAGAATCCATCAGGGCCATCATTATGATGATTATGATCTACAGGCTCAGGTGCAGACTGAGTGCAGAAAAGAAGGGAGATTTTTGAAATGTTTACTTAATGTCTGCACCACATGGCTTGCAGGGTCTTAGTTTCTCTACCAGGGATGGATCCTGAGCTCCCAGCATTGGAAGCACAGAGTCCTAACCACTGGACTGCCAGGGAATTCCCAAGAAGGGAGATTTTGTAAGAAGGAGGTCAGCTATAGGTCAGGACATTTGATTCATTGGAAAGTGGACATCTGTATAACGTAGATAAAGAAGAAGAAGAAGGAGCATATAAACATCAAAAGTTGGAATTTATTCAACCATCCATCCATTCATTCAAAAATACTGAGTGCTTCTTGAGTCTCTGACCCTGTGCTAGGCATGGCAAACATGGTGGGAACATAAGACAGATTCTACACTCATGAAATTAGTAATCTAAACTTTCAAGAATACTGAGAAACCCGAAACTGTTCTATGAATCTCAACAAGGAAGAAAACAGTGGTATTTTAGCAAGTATACTTAAAGTATTTTCTTATTGCCAAATTTTTGCATTTACTGGCAAAATCATAGATGCACGTGTACACCTGAAACTGATACTGTGTGCTTGGTCATGTCTGACTCTTTGACCTTGTGTACCGTAGCCCACAAGGGTCCTCTGTCCACGAGATTTCCAAGGCAAGAATACTGGAGTGGGTTGCCATTTCCTCCTCCAGGGGATCTTCCCAATCCAGGGATCAAATCTGCATCTCCTGCATTGGCAGGTGGATTCTTTACCACTGAGCCACCTGGGAATCCCCTTCTCATGTTGCAAAACAATTATACTTTAATAAAAATATTACAGATACATATGTTTCAGCATTTCACTCTGTTCTCTGGGATAGAGATTCCATAACAAAAAGTTGTTATTGTTAATTATCATCAGCGAAAGTCACAATCTCTAATCCAGGAGTTGACAAATACAGTGTTTTTGTAAATAAACTTTCATTGGAACACAGCCACAGCATCTTGTGTATCAATGATCTGCTGCTTTTTGCAATGGAATTGAATTGGGACAGAGGTCCTCAGACTCATAGGCATCTGGCTGTCTAAGAGAAAGTTTCCTGACCCCTACTCAAATGATGATCCAAAAAAACACATTTGGATATTAAAAGCTCTGAGAAGTGTTGTAGTCGAGATTAACCCAGAACTTCTGGGCTGGGCAGTTCCTAAAATTATCATCAATGATTCCCATTCCTTGGTGTCCCAGTCCTTTTAGAATCTTCTCCCTTTGAGTATAAGCTGGATTTTGATTTGCTTTTAATGATAATGTGCTTTTGCTGATGAGATATCACTTTTGAGATTAGGTTATAAAAGAAAACGTGATTCTGTCTCTGGTTCTCTCTTGCTCTAGGATCACTAGCTGCCATATCGAATACACTTGGAAAGTCTCTGGTGAAGCCATGTGGTGAGGATCTGAGACCTACAAA